CTGCCCCTGTGTCCTCTCCGAGCATCTATCCCAGTGCTGTCTGTGTGACCACTTCCCAGGCAGCGGTTTCCCTCCAGCTTCATTTTACTTGCTGGCACTGCCAGTGTCTCCCACCTGGAAGAAGGGAGCTGGCTCCCATGCTGTGTGTGCACTGCACCTCTCTGCACTGCTGGGTAACCCTACCGGGCTCCTCGGCAGAGGATTGTGTTTCAGTGAGCTGCTGAGGAGGATGTTTTCCACTGATTCTTGGACTTGGAGTCAGCGCAGGGTCTGTGTGGACACTTGCATCGGTGATACGTGGTCTAGGAAGCAGTAGCTTGGTTGTAGGAGTTGTTCTACCTAGTCTCAAAATGGGGCGGCTGCTGAGACCAAACTCTTCCCGATGAGCAAAGTCTAAGCCATTGGGAAGGCAGGCTCACTGAGAAACAGCAAAGTGAGTATTTTAAAATAAGGAGAGGTCTTAGAATGTTTTTTAAAGGAATACCTCAACTAGTTCATTTTAATTCACAGGCAAGAACACACTTTGTGATATTCTTGCTCATTGTTAACACTTCTCACAGTGCACGCTGCTTGTGTTAATCACAGTTCTGATTAGCTTGGCTCATTAAGCCAAGCTGGTCAAGTCACAAGAATGCAAATGACTTGACTGTACCTGCAAAACGTAATTCAAACTGTTTACACTTATCTTGAATGGCCTTTGATGCTTTCCCTGGTTTGGTCTTTGCTATTCCCTCTAATCCTGAGCAGACTGCATGAGTTCTAAGCTGCAGAAACCATGGACTTCCAAAACTTGTCTGCAAGTATTTCCAGAAGCTTGGAGGCTGTTCTTTTCCTGACCCCTTAAAGAGCACACCTTTCTGAAAACTGCTGCTCCTCTTGTAACAGACACTTCCCAACTTAAGCTGGGTTTCTGAAAGCTAAATTCAAATTTGGAAACACCCACCTGGCTACAAAACTGAAAAAAAGAGCACAGCCATGACACCTGCTTGGGTGTGAAGACAGCAAGTATTTGGAAAAGTGTGGGGGGGGGAGAACGGGTGAGGAAGCAGTCTGCTAAAGCTAACTTGCAAGAGCCAAGTACATTTTCAAGAGTTTATTATCAATATTTCAGGATAAAAATCTTACAAACTCTATTTCACATTTTTCTTTACAGAGCATCAGCAAGCAAAGCTTGTTGTATAAAATAAGAACATAAAAGCTAGGAAATTTTGCTGACATTTGGGAATATGAATGCTTTCAGATTTAAAAGCAGAGTGAAGGTTGTAAGGTTTGAAGAGACATTTCAATATATGGCTTGAATTATTTGTTTGCTTGTAGACACACACACAAAAAAAGCATTTGTCTACTTGATGCTAGAAAAAGGTGCTAGAAAGATCTCATTTTTCAAGTGCTTTCCATAAACAACAGAGGAACAACTACACTGACAGCTCCTTACAGTCAATCATTCTAAGGTTTCTATTTATATAAAAATTAGAGAATGTCCTCGTATTTTTTCATAAAGTTGTTTCTAAGATACTATTTTTAGGCAGATGCCTTCAGTGATTCAACTTGGGAATTCTGCTTAGGAAGAAACACTTAGATGGTTTTGCATTTCTCCCCATTATTTAACATAGCAACTATGTAAAGTTATTATGGAAAATTAAAAAGAAATAAAAAGCAATAACTTGGCCGTCCTTATTTTTCAGATTGTCTCCTTTCCTAAATCCACAATAATGTCATTTAATTTCCATTTTACTAAGCACTCTGGTCCCCTTTTATCAGTACGTATAAAAAAATAAACTTTTTTTTTTTTTTTTTTTCATTTTTCATTTTGCCATTGATGGGAATAGGCAATTCACCCCCAACATGGCAATATGTGCTTGTAAAACCCTAACAAAATCACCTTCATTTTAAGGTTAAAAAGCACATGCAAGGTGGCAGGAACAGTAATAAAGGAAGAAACCCAACTTTGATACGAAATACAGCTATTTGTGTTGACAGTAGGAAACAAACATCTTGTAAAATATTCAGAATCCTGAAAACAGAAAGAAAAAAAAAAAGAGAACTTGAGTTTTTCACTACTTTTTATCTTTGGGGAAGACTTTGGGGAAGTCAACTGTGGAAAATGATACTGACCTTTGCCAAACACTTTTGGACACATTGATTTAAGGATAAATGAAAGTGTTTATAACAGAATGAGAGCAGTTAATCTGTCCCAAATACTTTACAGTTCAGTTTGAGCCATCATTTGCCATCCTATGTTACCCAGTTTAAACAGGCTGAAAATAAAGTGTCAGGGATATGTTCGTGGGAAGGGACCTCTGGAGTTCAAGGGGCATCTGGAGTTCATCTTCTCCAGTCACAGGCTCAACAGGTTACACTAAAATTCAGAGCTAGGAGGAAGGAAATGTCTCTGACATGGGGGCATACCTGCTTACTTATCACCATATATATGAGTGTTCCCAGCCAAAAGAGTTGTCATTCTGCAGAATAAGGGCTTGCAAGGGCAGGAAGAAACAAGATGACCCTCTTCTGAGATCTTGTTTTCACAACAAAAACTAGCAAAACTACTTCAGTGACTTCCTGAAACAGAAATCATCAAGGGTGCACATTCAAAATCTAATAACTAAGTGATAAAATATCAAAAAAGAAAAGGAAGATTAAATAATGAAGGTTCAATAATGACAAGGAACAATGCTAAATACATTTTTACTAAGAGAGTGTTACGTAGGGAAAATGTTAAATATTTCATCCTGAATAATGTCATGAAAAAGGATGAGGATGATCACGATAGGAACACATTAAATATTGACAAAGCAGATGAAAACATAACACTTCTTTCTTTTCCAAGATGCTAATCAATGCTAGCTATCTCCCCATAAGGCAGAAGGAATGCAGTGTAAGTATTAGGGGTCAGGGGATAGCAAAGAAGAAGCCTTACACACTGCAGAAGTTTATGCTGAGAGTAGTGTGCTCCCTAATATTCTAACACTTATCTCAAGCCCCTAAACTTGCATCCACAAGGACCAAGTTCAGGTCTTCCATTGAGCCACCTGAGAGCAGATGGGGTTGGAGCTCTGCTTGGACACCTCCAAAGGGCTTCTTGCACTGGCAACAGGGGGAAGAGAGCAAAGCAAAATACAGAAAGAAGAAATAAAAAAATAAAGACATACTTCTTTTCAACTATACACCAACAATTTAGAAATTCATCTTTTGGGTCCACTTTGTGATGTTACTACTGATCTGCGAGTTTTTTAGTTGTGCTCCATATTTCTCCAGCACTGAAGGTCAATAGGATGATTAGCAACATGCTTCTAGCTTCTTCTTCAATACTCACAGCTTGAATAACTCACAGTTACTCACAGCCCTTAAAACTGAACTGCAAGCTACCTAACAGCAAGAAAATACTTTCTGCTAAGTTACTCTATTGTCATGAGAAAAACCGGTAGGCTATCTGGAAAAAAAAAATCCCGTTATTCAGCAACGGTAGAGGTGACCTGTACACATGCAGAGGGGCAGAAGTTGTTCATCCGAGTTCCCCCTTTTGATCTCCCAGAGCACGTTCCCAGCAGAGCCCTGCCTACGATTCCTCACCACTTTGCACTCATTTTGAGTGGATGATCACAGTGTATCTGTCATCCCAGGCTTTTTCTTTCATACCAGTGCTTTTAATAGAGGAAGGGCTATCTGCACGGTAGGCTGAATACAAGAAAATTCAGGAATTGCAGGCCTGTTATGGGGACAGCGGTGGGCTGAGAGACAGAAGGTGATAACAGTGAGGAGCCACCGCAGGGCATAGCGGAGTGAGAAAGGGATATTCATTTTGTTTTCTTTCATCTCAAGAATAACATTTACAGCGCAATCCATTACCAGGCTGTTGCTTCTGCTGACCTTTTCACTCACAGTTATGCTTCTCAGCAATCTTTAAAAGAATACAGGGGCAGTTTGGGAAGCAGCTCTTGGGTCAGCTAATGGATCTTGCCAGTCACCCAAGACAGATTGCCCAAGGTGTTCGCTGCCAAGTCCTTCTGTGGATCTGGACCACAGGGCCTCCCACCTGCCTTGTTATCCTAAACAACTGCTGGGACCACAGGCTCCTGCCGCAGCCTCTGCTGCCACCACGGAAAGGATCTGGAACACAAAATGGAAACAGGCTCCTCCACACCTGGGAAAAGCTGTTCCAGAAAGACGGGGTTTTAAGCAAAACTCTCATCCCTGACGTTTATGCTGGAACAAAAAAGGTAGACCTTGATCTGTCTTTCTGGGCAATGGCCCAACGGAGAACCTGGAGATAACGTTGCCAGAAGGGATTTGCCCCCACTGATCCAGCCAAGAACGGCTCCCAGAAGGTGTAAAGCAAAGCAAGCACAACCATCAGATCCATCAAACCTGTGTCTCACCATTAATCACTTTGCCTCACACCTGCTGGTGAAACTACTACCTTCAAAATTGCAATTTTCCTAACCACCCGTTGGATTATACCCAGCAGCAGCTCCCAAATTCCACGTGTAGCTCAGAGGAAAGACCACCACTCACTGCTTAGCTGTCACCAATGGGAACACATCCAAAACGGTGAAGAAAGAGGACTCTGCTCAAGGCCCCCATCAGGACGGCATCTCCACGCATGTGCCTCCACCCGAGCCAGGGGACGTCCACACTCCCAGCCCCGGATGCTCATCCCTGTCCCATCCCCACTCCCCACCAGGATCAAAGACATCGGCACAAGCCATTCCCTGTGCCCTTGTGCCACGGGATGGAGCCCGGGCAGCGACCAGCGACGCCACCGCCGGTACCAGTACCAATGTGGTGACACCGAGGGCTCCTGCCCACGGGAGCCCGCGTCCTTCCCGCAGGGAAACACCGCTCGGCTCTGACCCGCGCACACCAAAACACACAGTAAAATCCACAGCATCCCAGCACAGTATTGATTCCTGAGAGAGACCGTATAAAAAAATCAAATGAGTTGACATGTCACATAAATAATTCGCGTCCGGCTTCTGTCACACACTTTGCATCCGTACCTTTCATTTCACACAAGTGGTTTCTTCGCTACAGAGCTACCAGATTTTTTCCCCTCATCCTATTCCCAACATTAACCTCTAGGCAGCGGGATGGGTGCAAGGGAAGAGCGGAGGCAAGCCCGGGAATGGATCTGGTGCCAATCTAGCTGGAAAACGTTAACCTTGCAGGCAGGGGACAAGCAGCAGAGTCATCTGCAACGTGCCAAGCGGCGTCTTCATTTCCATTAAGGAGCCATGAGCAAACGACCTTCAGCAATTCTTAAAACTACCTCTGATCTAAGGAAGTTGGCCGTGGTTGGGAGCCTGCGGGCAGAAAGGAGTTAGAAAAATAAAGTAAAATGAAGTGAAATGAAATATGATGAAATGAAAAATAAAGTAAAATAAAATAAAGTAAAGTAAAATAAAATAAAGTAAAATAAAGTAAAATAAAATAAAATAAAATAAAGTAAAATAAAGTAAAATAAAATAAAATAAAATAAAATAAAATAAAATAAAATAAAATAAAATAAAATAAAATAAAATAAAGCAAAATAAAGCAAAATAAAGCAAAATAAAATAAAGCAAAATAAAATAAANAATAAAGCAAAATAAAGCAAAATAAAATAAAGCAAAATAAAATAAAGCAAAATAAAATAAAATAAAATAAAATAAAATAAAATAAAATAAAATAAAATAAAATAAAATAAAATAAAATAAAATAAAATGAAGCAAAACAGTGGTTCACCTCTTGCCGGAGCGGTCTGTGAGCGCTGCAGGGCGGCGCCGCTGGCCCCGCGGCCCCGTCACGCCGCGCCGCCGATGCGGGGCATCTCCGCTCGCTCTGGGGTCCCCCTGCGGTCCCTCCCCTTCCCAGTCCCCGGGGGCGAGGGAGTGAGCGCGGACCCGGCTCGGCGGCGGCTGCCCAGCCTGCGCGGGGGGCGGAATTAAATGAAATCTGCATTAAAATAAGGGCACAAGCGGCGCGGCGCGGCGCGGGGCGGGCGCGGGGCGCTCCCGGACCAAGGCGCCGCCGCTGCCGCAGCCCTGGGCCCCGCCCCCCGCCCGCCTCCAACGGCCGCGCGGAGCTCGTGGCCTCGCCGCCCCGCACGGGGCCGGGGCCGGAGGGTGGATTGGGCCGAGGAGCGGGGCGTCCGCTGCGGTTAGGGCCCCGCCAGGGCTCCGCGAGCACCCCCTGGGTCTTCCCGTAGCCATGTCCTCGGCAAAGCCCCTCGCTGTGACGAGCTGCCCCTCGCTGTCCCCAGGCTGGGGCTTCGCTGCTTGCCAGGGCCAGCCCCGGCGTCCCCTTGGCTTCTCCTCCGCCTGCGGACCGGGCTGAGCCCGCACGCATTCGTGTCTGCGATGTCGCGCCGGCTGCGCCATCCCGCTCCTTGGCTAAATTAAACCTGTCTCGCCCCGACCGCAGATGGCTTTTAATGGACATAGGCTTGCTGCTTGCCTTGCTTTGCTTTTATTTTTACCTCAGTAACGGTTTCAGTTTTATGAGTAACTCCTCTCCCCTTGGCTTGCTTTTTTCTACCTCTACCAGGTTAACCATCTCTTTTCTCTTTCCCTGTCAGAAACACTGGGGTTTTTGGTCTGCGTCTCCTTTGCCCCAGGTGCCCTCACCCAGGCCTGCTGCCCTCCTTCATCCCTACCCATTCATCCCCATTACCTCAGGATTTCCTCCGGTGCTTTCACCTTGGGCCTTTCTCCTCACAACGCAGATTATGTTTTGAGTTTTCACCTTAAAAACAGGCAGACAGGCGGGCGATACCATTTGCGACTCCTTGCCTGTGCTGTTGTTGCCCCATTTTCTCTGTCTCTGAGGTGATTGAATGTGACATCCGCACTCGCTGTTGGGAGCTCTTCACTCCAGTTTCATCCCAGGCCCTCCTTGCTTCCTAGTCTGTTCTGCCCATGGTGATTTGTAATTTGTGCTCTTCAAGGCACTGAGAATTTCCTCTTACCTAAATCTGAGAAGGTTTTGCACCCTCTGGGGTCCGTCAGCCAGTTTCAATACAGGCTCTCCATAAATGAGAGAGACCAAGAACATTTTCTGTGTTTACATATGTGCCTTAACCAGGTGCACATCCCAACTATGTCCTGATTTTACATCAGGACTCACAGTGCATTTTTTTTAATTGTTTTATTTTTTAATTGTATTCCTCTTCCAGCACCTCTGTGATATTGCAGCGAGCCTCTGGTTTGTGTCATGCCGAATCCCAGTTGCTTGTGGTAGCTCATCTTGTTCAGGTGTTTCACCATACGAAAACTCAACATAAGTTAACTCCAGACTGTCTTTCCAAGGTCTCCCTGCTTCTTCATTACTCCATGTTTAACCGTCATTCAAGTCCGTAAGCTAAGTGTCAAATCTAGTCAAATGTGAAGTAAGTCTTGACTACACATTTAAGGATTATGATCACTCTTCATCGCAGTATCTCGCAGGGAGTTCCTATTTGGCTCCACACAATACAGGCAAATTTATTAAATTCTATATTCAACTTTAGAGCTGGTTCATTCACAGAGATTCTGCCAATTTGGACAAATTTGTATGAAGTTACACTTCATTTAAATCAATCCAGTTTTCTATGTGGACAAGATTAAAGTCTCAAGTTGCTTTCCAGCGAGCTTACTGATTTTTTTTTTAATGGAGATATGCTCTTGCTTCTGGCTGTACGTGGCAATTTTCTTAATATTAGTAAATCTTTCTGTGACCTGTTATGTAGACTTCCAGCTTCTGTCGAAAGTCACCTTCCTCATTGTCTTTGCCTTTAATTTCCTCAGGACAGGTCTTTGTGTTATGTGATATTGTTAGCCCAACACCAGTAAAACCCCCAAGCCCTGCAATTAACCCTATACTTAATCTTGAAAAGTACTGAGAACCAGAAATGTGCTGCACTTGATTACTAATAGGAAGTTTTTCAAATCTGAAGGATTCTTTGGATGAAATCAGTATCATTGTACACATCCAAAACTAATAGGAACCCAGAAAGAAGCATAAATATACTACATGCAGACTCTGTTTTTTTTTTATTTTAAACAAGGTGAAAGTGTTAACAATTGTTCTTACTAAATTTGCTTATCCAGCAGAAAACTGCTTATGAGGTATTTCAGAATGCCAGACATAGGATGTTTCTGTGTTTTACTGTTCCTCATTGGCCACAACTGATTCATCTTGCATGACAGAAGTGCTGAAAATCAGACTGTCAAGTTGGTCACTAAGACAACAAATGTCCTTTTTGCCCACCGCAGATGTTTTATGTTTTTTATCACCCAGTGTATCTGAGTAGACATTTATAGCTCAGTCCATTAAACCAGAGATGGTGATTTCTTTTATTTTTCTTTGTTGTCAGATTTTTGAAGCAAATTTGATTGTCCAACAGAACCAAAGACAGAGCAGAAAATGGTTGAGCAACTAAAACTGCTTCGTAGACCTCTGCCTCCTAAGCAGTTACCTAAGCTGCATGCACCAGGAGAGAAGTTTGGCAAAGGTAAATTGTACAAAGACAGTCCTTGCAGTGCAAAGGTGAAAATTTGGGATGTTCTCTAAAATTCTGCCCCAGAAGATGGATTGGGAGCGCTTGGTTAATCTGCAGCTCATCCATGGAGTGCAGAGGGAAACCCACGCTGATTCCAGCTGATTCTGGCATGACTTACTGGGCAGCACAGTATGAGGGACCCAGAACAGATGTGTAGTGCGGTGTCACTGATGTGAGTTGACACAAGCCTGTCACCTTGTCCTAAAATGTGCAGTAAAACTGTCCCTTAGTAATTGCCATGCCTGTTCAGTAGACAATTAACCTAACTAGTCTTGGCCTGCCAGTATTGTGAGCTGCTACTGCAAAGCAATGATAATAGGGCTAAAATATGAGACCTGTCTATGTATCTGTGGGAGGTTGTTCCACTTCATGTAAAATAATGGGATAATAATTTGAGTAGGTGGTAGAGCTTGGGCCTTCTAAGACTTGAACACTACCCACTGAATAACAGAGCTCACCCAAAGATATAGCATGAAAAACTGAAGATAGAAGCAAAATCAGATCAGATGAAGTCAAGTCAAAGGGGAAGTCAAATTTTGATTCAGAGAAAATGAAAAAAAAAAAAAGGTTCTTTAGGGTGGTTCTGCTCTTCACAAGTACACATTGATACAAATATACATTTATTTTAAAAGCATCGGGGAATTCAAATACAAAGCAAAGATCTTGCACTGTAATATGGTTCAGAAATAGAAATTTTGTGTGCGGGTGAATGAAAAGCTCTTTCCAGTTTATATAAAGCAGCATTTGATTAAATATTTAAGCATGAACCTTTAAAACTAGAAACACATCTATAACCAAAAAAATGTTAAGCTTAAGTGGTTGAGTGGTTGGAAAATAGGCACCTAACCTGAAATCCAGTATGTCTAGAAGGACTCTAATGTTTGAACAGGTTCACCGACTTCAGTTAAAACTGTGACACTGCAGGATGCACTGTAGGGTCTTTGTACACATTTTTTTTTTTTGCTATTTATTTACCAGTGAGGTTATTAGAATAAAGGGATAAGGTAAAAGTGCAATATTGTCCCTACAAAATGGGCAAAAAAAGAGACCAAAGTAAACCTTATTCTTTTCCTCCTAGCTTCTTCAATTGTGTAAGAGTACAGAAGCAGCTGGAATTGTGCATTCTTTACATAGTCCTTAAGGCAAACCAACAGGGAAAAAAAAACTCCACCTTTTTATGACTTTGGAATAAATTTGAACTAATTTGACATTTTTCCATATTTGTTTCTTTGATAAAGTAGTGGTGCACCATATTTATTACAAATATGAAATTTTACTTTGAAAGAAACAATGATAATGATAATATATTAGCAATAATACCTCTATAGTGATATTAAAAAGAGTAGGAAAATTCAGTTAGAGAGGTAAGCTTGAAAAGTCAAAAGATGTAATTACTGGCCCTTTGATGTTATTAGGTCCTTGTGGAGTTTGTTTTAAAAGCCAAGTAGAACTTTCCATCTATTTCTGAGCAAAGCATTCCCAGTTTGGTGCTGTTCAAACGGATCTGAATATTTCTGGCTCACTACCAGGGCTTTGCTTCAGTGATTTAAACCATCTTAAAAGTGCCAGATAAACCTTTTATCCTGCAAGAAAGGTCTGTTGTGTTGAGTTTCCTTGTGGTAGAACATATGATTAGTGATGGGGGCTATTTATAGCTTATAGATTTATATAGTTCTCCTGAGCAGAATCCAAGAGCTGCGCAGTAATGTTTGTTCAAGGATCATTTCTTCCGTCACCAAATGTAACCCTAACATTTGATGGATATTTATATTTATATTATATATATTATCCAACATATGATGGATATTTATACAGCAGCACAGCCATTGATCAAAAACCCACTCTTCAGCAGTGCTGATTTGATCTTCCTGGTGGATTAGACTGTTTTGTGCCTTATGAAGTGTGAGACTGAGACTAATGGTCCTGAGTTAAAAAAAAAAAAGTTAATGGCTGTTTCAGTGAGGTGGCCTAACAAGTGTCTTTCATCCTGCAGGGGACTGTAAAACATGAGGATATAACAGGATTAAGCTGTTGACTGGAAAGGCAGGAGAAAACCCAAGGAGCTGGGATGGAATTTGTCCCTGAGGGGGCTTGGGAGATTCTAGCCATGGTAGCGAAGGGCAGGAGGCTAAAGGAGCCGGTGAATGATTCCAGCTTCCTTGGAGAGCTGAGCTGCAGCAGAGAGCTAGGGAAGGGTGACTTGCTCCCCCAGCAGGGTCCATGAAATGAGCCTCCCAATAATGAAAGGAACAGAGCACCCAGCCCGGGGAAGTGCATGAAGGATCTTTAGGAAATATTTCTTTCTTAATCGTATGATCAGGTGCTGAATGTCTGCTGGATGTGGTGGTAGTTGGAAATTGGGAACTAGCTAAGAAACAAGTACACCCCCAGAATGAGGGCCCTTGTAGCAACTTGCTTCTCTTACGGAAGAATAAGTAGCAATGGCTCTGTCCTGACATGGTGTTTCCACAAAGTTACCTGTTCTTAGGCTGGGCACGCAGCAAGGGAGTGGGATTAGGATTAGAAGAGTATTTTGAGGGACTAGAGTGAGGAGGGATTAGGATAAAAAGAGTAGAGTGAGGGACTGGGTTGATAGGTGAGGTGAGGGATTTGGATTTTGGCTAGGAGATTGAAGTGAGGTAATTGATTAAGGCAAGGGACTGTGGAGTAGATGGAGAGATTAGAACAACAGAGTGAGACCCGGATAGAGTAAAGAGCTGGGATTAGAGGATTAGAGTGTTAGAGCAAGGGAGTGGGATGAGGATATTAGAGTGATGGTTGGGAGCAAAGGATTGGGAAATTATTGTGAGGTATTGGGGTTTGGAGATCAGAGTGAGGGATCAGAGCAAGCAACTGGGAGATTATAGTGAGGGATTTGGATTAGAGTGAGGGATGAGAGGAAAGGGCTGGTTCATGCTCTCAGCAGTCCTTACCTGCTTCCTAAGTAAGGGGCTGTGTATGCTGTTTTATTAAATGGACCCAACAGCTTCTGACTATGGTGCTTCAGCGTGGTGCCTACCAGGGTAAGGATGAGGACAGCCCTCAGGGGCTGCTAGAGCTGTGCGTCTGCACCATCCAGATAAGCTGTGTAAAGCTGCCTACAGCCTGGAAAAGATCCTGTAGAGAAGATTTCCAGAGGTTGATTCCCGTGTTCCTTGCACAGTCTGACCACAACAGACCTTGCTTGTATCCTCATACTTACATATATCATAATTCCTCTCCATGGTGCCTTTTCAAGATGGAAGTTTCTCCAAAAGCTGCCCCTTTCCCTCTCAGGAGGGCAGGTTTGGGTGATGTGGGAAGCTCTGTGGAGTGGCATTTTCATGAAGGAGCCCCATTTACTTCCCATCGAAGGACCTCACTGAACTGCCCCATAGCACCTAGCAGAACAGACCCAGGATCCCTAGGCAGGACCTCCAAACACACGTCTGAAATCTTGCCCTTTCCATCCAGCTTGTATCCAATTGCTGCTGCCTGCTCTACATTGTTCAAAATAATTTTTAGGTGAATTCCATTCATGTTGGGAAAAAAAAAAAAAGACAAATGTATTGTGATATAAAATAGTGCTGGGGTGCTTTGTCTTAATGGTTCCTGCATTGCCTCTGAGAATCTGTGTGGGGATGAAGAATTGGTCACATAAACTTTTCCTCAGAAAGGATGCTTGAGTGTGCCTCATTATAAAAGTTGTGTTTTTTTTCCACTTTTCTTCACCAGGCAAGATTCTTGGACAGCACCAAACTAGAGCAATAAAGAATACAAATGATGAAAATGGAGAAACAGGTTCTAGTGGTTGTTTCAGTTCCCAGGTTCAAGACAAGCAGATGGATACTGACCTCAGCGATGATCAGATTGCCCACAGCCCAGTGCTGCTTTTCTCAGTACAGAAAGTGGAGCAGAAAAGTCAGAGAGACTTGCCATGTCCAGGCCATAAGAGCAGTGATTCTACTCGTTGGTCTTTACCAGGGGTTCCTGCAAGTGAAGTTGACCAACATGAAATGATTCGTGTCTATTCAAGCAGCCAAATACCAAATATCTCTGTCCCTCCTCCTGCGAGAGATTTTATAATTACTAAAAATCCTAGTGGGCCTGATAGTTTCCCATTCCGCCAGAATTACAGATTCTTTCGTATGAAGCAACAAGAATTACAGAGGACTGGCCCTGCTCATTTCACGCCTCCTGCGTTTACATTGGAAAGTCTGGCTGCCATTTCATCCTCTCACCCTCTGCCCTTGAAGACAACACTCAAAAAACCAGCTCTTTCCCACTATAACTGTGAGGAACTCAGCAGGCGATTAATGACCGCACAGAGGAGCTCACAGACCAAAGTTAATGGAGTGGTAGTGGCCAGTGCTGATTTACCATCGACTTCCATGACAAAGTCTGAGCAAGACAGGAGAGGTAAGTAATACAAAGAGTATGAGGGTTGAGATCTTTTGGTGTTGTTTCACTGAAAATCCTTCTTGAGCATCTCTTACAGGAAGAAAACTCTGCTGCGGTTATCTTTTTCTAAGTGTTAGAATTAGTCCTTATTACTTGAGAAATACACGGTTCAGAATTATAGCTAGTAATAACAAACTTGATTTTGAGTTGTAAGGTAACAACCAGTGACAATTTAAATGTGGGTAACTTATCCAGAACTGATGGGTGAGTTCCTTCTCAGCACAAGGGGAGTGCTGAAAGTCTCATCCCACGGGACTGAAAAATGTAGCCCAAACATCGAGATTTAGGAAGGCAATCCTAACACTTTAAGAGGTCTTTGAGGACATTTTAAGGAGGACCTTTTAAGAGGTCCTATCTTCTGCAGGCTCCTCCCATGAAGCTAATGTTTTATGAGTCCAGGCCCAATATTTCTTTTCCTTTCAAGGCTAACGAGTTGAGCTAAACAAACGCCCTGCACTCAAATTGCAGAGCTCACAAGCAAAGAAACAGTAGAAAAATAGTATTTTCCTTTTTCTTTCTTTTCACTTAAGTGGGTCGATATGTGTTGGTAGAAATGTGACCCAGCAGCTAGGTAATGAGGACTATGTTCTGTCTTTCAATTTTGATAGGAACTTCTGTTCAGTAAAATTCTAAATGAAATGTCAAAAACTTATCCAGGGAATATAAGCTTGAGATATTATTTGATTTTTTGTGATGTTTGATAAAAAAAACAGTATCAATGTGGCATTAATAAGAGGGTTAAAACAAATTATTGTTCTTTTACCCCATTATTAGATCATTTTTTATCTTTCATTTCCTTTTGTATGGAATCAGAACAGGGTGAGCCCAGCGTTTTGATTATAGTGTGATGCTAATCCAGTTCCTAGACTGAATGCCAGTAGCATTTGCTCTAAAGAGCAGCAAGGCTCTTCCAGAGCAGAAGGCTTTTGGTGCCAAAACATCCCTGCTTGCATTTTGGTGGCAAAACTACAGTCAGAGAGAGAATCAGCATATGTTGGGTCTCTGTAAGCCCCAGCTTTGCGCAGGGAGCACCTCAAGTATGTCTAGTGTCTCATGTTGCTTCTTGTGTTAGGCAGGTTTAAAATAATACTGGTGCCTTACTCCTTCCTCTGCACAACCATGCACCACAACCATACACCACTTTCCTCTGCAGTCATTCTGAAACCAGAGTTGTGTCCTGCCTTCCCAGAGAACTACTTGTAGCACAGCCCACTGCTGTCACTGCTTCTGCAACCAGAAACAGCACAGCAGCATCAGAGAAAGGGCTTCTGTGGGTCTTGCAGTGCGTTTAGGGTGAAGCTGTTGCACATCTGGATGTAGGGGCATGCAGGTGCTCCCAAAAGCACCCATTTTATGGGATGAATTCAGTCCTTTTCCTCTCTGAGAGCCAGGTTTTGGACCTGAAATTCTTTTGATTTTCCACCATTGGCTAGCAAGTAACTCCACAAATCATAGGGAAACATTTGCCTCATGCCTCTGTGGTGGTGGACTGGAAGCAGACGTATGGTTATTTCTCTTCCTGCACTAGAAATAACTTGCATGGTGGAAATGGGACTTGTATGTGTGACAATGAGGAGAAAAGAGAAAACAGTCTCAACTATTTACCACATTTTGGGTTGTATGTGTGCTTTGTGCATCACTTAGGCCCAGAGGATGGGATTTTGTGATAACTCTTTGCTGAAGCCTGGGTCTGGAGTGCAGAAATGGCTTTAAGAAGGCAGCCACTCTGCTCCATTTTGCTGTGTTCAGAGGGTGAGCTGCGACGAGCTGCCTACCAGAAGAGAAAAGCTGCATTCAGGTTTTCTGATGGCATACAGAGGTGGACACCCCTTTGTAGGGTTTCTGTGCCTAGATATGTCCAACTTACCCAAACCTGTGAAAACCTGAAAACAGCACTGTAAGCTTGCCACATTTTTTTTCCTTCAGATTCTGCGTAATTTGGCCACACTCTCATCCAAACCATTTATATGAGTAGAAATGAGCTGCTTTGTCTTTAGAGATTTGAAAATGGTTATGGGGAAAATAGATGGAAACATTTCATCCAAGTTTCATCCCACTGGAAAGGTATTTTGTTGGGGGGATACTTTGAAGGATCTTGGCAGAAGCGCTGAAAGAGAAAAACTGTAATAGACCCAAAGCATCTCCCCAAGCCATGTCTCAGCATCTCCTGTCCCTTTCAGGGAGCTCATCAGACCTGGGAGTAGCAGATGCTGCAGTGTCCCTTTCCCTTATGTTTCTTAGGCAGGTGCATCTCTTCTCCTTCCTATTTCTGGGCGTAGCCTAAAGTTTTTCCTAAAAATTCTACAAAGTTAGCAAACCACTGGTTCATTCAGTGACAGCAAGGCAAACTCCATCTAGAAGTTTAAAGAGATAATTCATTTCATCTAACTTCATCTCCGTTACGTTAGTCACAACCTAGTCTCCCTTAGGTTAATCACAACCTCAAGGTAGTCATCTAAGATGGGTGGAATAAATCAAGCACAAATTAGGCAGCTACTTTTTGGCCATTTACAATGAGACATAATTTGGCCTTGCCGTTTGGTGGCTCACACTTTATGTTATATGCCCATGACGACGGCAGAACTGTGTGAAAAGCAGGAAGCCTTAGCAGTTCTGAGCACAGGAACTCAGAGCTGTTCCCTGTGGCCAGAGATCTGTTTGGGTTGTTCATCAGATCCTGCTGAGGATCTGTTTGGGTTGTTCATCCTGCAGATGGGGATAAGGTGATTGTGACTGAGAAAAAGGAGGTGCATGAGGTTGACAAAGGGAACCAGTAAGTTCAGTGTACACAGCCCTTATTTGTTCACCTCCTGGTACTGGACAAGAATGTCATCATTTAAGCACAAATTCTAAAGCCAAGAATGCTTTTTTTGTGTGAAATTATTTCATATCTGCATTGTGGACAGAACAAAGCTCTTCGTGATGAACTTCAGAATTTTAGGCTCACGTCCTGAGTGTCCTGGGAGAGGACAACCTCATGCACCAAGACGAGCTGTGAGCCACCTCCCTGGAGAGTGGCTTTGCAGTAATGGGCTGAGGGTGCTGAGGGATGACACTTGAATATGGGCCAGCTGGGTTCCCTTGCAGCAAAGGCACCTGCCCACATACAGGGCTGTACAAGCAAAAGTATGACCAGCAGGTCAAGGACCATTATCCAGTATTTGGCACTTGCAAAACAACGTCTGGACTAAGGTGCCCAGTTTTGGGGTCTCCAGGTAAAGACAGATCTTGACAGGTTGTCCGGGGGCTAGAGACCACAAGGTGCAAGGAAAGAGCAGGAGAGCTGAGGTGGTTCAACCTCAAGAAGAGATGGGCAATGGGAGATCCTGCTGCCATCTTCAACTGGAGCTTAATTCTTCTCAGAGATACACAGTGATAAGACCAGCAGCAACAGAAACAATTTGTAACATGGGAAATTCTGATTAAAGAAAAAACTTTTCCCTGTGAGGTTGGTCAAACACTGGCACAGGTTGCACAGGGAGACTATGGGGTTTTCTATCCTTGGAGCTATTCAGAATCCAACAGGAAAAGTTCCTGAGCAACCTGATCTAGAGCAGCCTTGAGCAGGGGATTGGATTAGGTGACCTCTCACACTTTCTAGTCTGAATTATTCAGTGATTCTATGTCTTTTTTTAAAAAAAAAATGTAGAAGCAGAGGCATAAAATTAAGCTAATATATTCAGATCTGTCTTGTGCAGTTGAATAATACGTAGGGCCTTTGTACATAAGACTCAGAGCAATATGAGCATTATCTGTAAAGTTACTTATTTCTTGTGTGTTTTCTGCCTAGAAATGGAAGAGAAAATGAGAAAATGTGATTCACCAGAAGAAGACAGAGAAAAATCAGATACTGTGCACTACTTGACTCCAGCTGAATATGAAAGAGAAGAAGGACCCTTTACAGGTAGGAACAAGAGGTATAAATCACTTTGGAGAGATAAACTAGGCATATAGCATGGGCCTATAGTCATGAAATGGCAGTGTGGGAAATCACATTCTCAGAAATGCAGTATGCCTCCTGCAGACCGAGGGGGCTACAACCACTGCATCCTGTTGCATTAGCAAAACAGTGGAAATTGGAGGCCATAATTCAACTCTGATCCCCAGACCCTTTTCTTCTTTACAGTGTTTTTCTTCTCACATCAGAAAAAAAAAAAAAAAGTTGTTTATAAAGAACCAGCAATCTTTATGCAGATATTAGCAGGTTGACTGGTTAGTCTGTGAGAGTTTTGTCTGAGAATGTAACAGAGAATCTAAAGGAAGAGAGTTAGGACATTTGCAAAACTCAACTTTTTATTTTCTAATGTTTGTTTTTCCCTAAGAAATTCTGTAAAGCATGACATCTTTTTTTTTCTTTTTCATTTAATTATAGAGTCTAGGGGTGGCCCTGGTGGCAATACTTTGGATGACGTTTGGAAAACTAGTTTACAGTTTACAGTAAGCGAGCAAGAGGAAGAACTGATGGCCAGGTCCCAGCTGGAAGTATTGCGCTGCCTATTGTACAAGAAGCTGGCTCTTAACCTTCAGGTACATCCTCTAAAGATGCAGTGTTCCTATTGCTGTGTTTAATAATTAATAGCAGTTGTCTTTCAAAAGTTAGAGTAACTGTAGCAATAGCCGTTTTCTGTGCTTTTCTTCGACAGTTTGGTTGCCTTTTTTGCCTCCACTGTTTGTTTCTTGTTTCCTTTCTTCTTGCCTTCCCTCCCTATTTCCTCTGTATTTTCACAGTGTCTCATCTTCTTTCTGATATGCCCTGCAGAATTTGTATGGCACTTGCTCAAGAATGTTCCTCCCACCGGTGTGTTTGTAATTAAACCTAAATGACATCAGTATCACACATAAGTGTGGTGAGATTCAGAGAGTGAGAGAAAATGCCTCTTCTTTTTCGTAAGAGAAGAGAGATTTAAACGTCTGAGTTTCAGGGAGTCTGCCCACTAATCTAAACTTAGCTCCTTGATAGGTCCGGACCAGCAATTGCAGCCTCCTAACTGAAGGAGCCTTGGAAGGCTTCAGCCAAAGGAAGCTCCCCTGTGGGACTCTGCCTGAATTTAACCTGTCCGTCCTCCTGGATACAGCTAGTGTAAGGAAATGGCTTTCTAAGACACCTCTATATAAATGGCCTGTAGCCTTCACTCCAAGGCCTGCTGTAGCTTTCATTGCACTAGGAGCTGATACCTGGGCAAGCTGAACCCTCTGTGGAGGTAGAAATGATGAGGACATTAGTATCTCAGAATAAATACATCCAGGCAGAGGGTGGTTAGGGATTTGGGGAGTAATTCTACTCTGTTTCCAAAATCAAGAATAGCTAGTTCTTAAAATATCAACTCTATTTACTTGCATATACAAATGTATATGTATGATATAAATTGCACAGCTGGATACATTCTGCTTTAAATGCATCTCAGACCTGAGTAAATCCCTTGTGTGTAAATCAGGATTAAGTATTTAATTTCTTTTAATGTAATCTTGAAAGAAGTGATGTTACTGGTTTTGTTTCCTGTTTTGTCACCTAGAAAAGCTTTGAAATGTCAATATTCACAGTGAGCTTCTCTGTATCTATAAATGTTGTGCTGTAATATGACTGTATTTGCAAGATACACTAAGAAGTGTTGTTTACCAGTAGCAATTGGTACAAGTTTTGTCCATCCAATTTCTGTTTTTTGGAGATTTTTTGGTACCATGTGTGTAAGACATTTCATTATGAAATGAAGCAGATTATGTCACTTCATTATCCATTTGTGAAAAAACCATCACCAAAACAGAAACTGTCAATGACAGAGATGGAAATACCAGAACCACCATCACGAGGAAACAGTGCTTCGAGTTCTCTTTACGAGTGCTATAAAAAGACAATTATTGATTTTTCACTTTCTTGCCAACAATACTCTTTTGCCAGTATAGAGAACAGTATTTATAGAACTTTTTTGCATTTTTTGTTGGGAAGGGCATGGTATATAAACTCCTCAGCTGCCTAAATGATCTCTGAAGCACCCAAGCTAAATGGAGCTATTCTTCACTACCATCTGAGACTCAAGATCCTCAAAAGACCCCTCTTTCTTTTTTATTCTACCCATTGATGCTTTACCTAGTGTTCATTAACAGAATTATTTGCTGGCACTGCTGTCATTTTTCTGACATTTTGAGCAGTCTCACTTGGGAGAGACAAGTCTTGCAGTCAGTCAGGTCATGCCACATGCTAAAGATTGTTGATTCCATCTTCCTTACTGCGCTGCAGCTCAGGACACACACGTTTTGTGTGCAGCTCTGGGTTCCCCAGGACAAGAGGGACGTGGAGCTCCTGGAGAGGGTCCAGCGGAGAGCGACAAAGATGATTAAGGGACTGGAGCATCTCTTGTTTGAGGAGAGACTGAGTGAGTTGGGCCTGTTCAGCTTGGAGAAGAGAAGACGGAGAGGGGATCTGATTAACATGAAGGGAAAATGCAGGGAGGAAGGGGCCAAGCTGTTCTCATTGGTGGCCAGTGACAGGACAAGGGGTAATGGGTACAAGCTACAACACAGGCAGTTCCACCTGCAGGTGAGGAGGAACTTTTTCCCTGTGAGGGTGACAGAGCCCTGGCACAGGCTGCCCAGGGAGGCTGTGGAGTCTCCTTCTCTGGAGATCTTCCCAACCCGCCTGGGTGCCGCCCTGTGCCCCGTGCTCTGGGTGTCCCTGCTGGAGCAGGGGGTTGGACTGGATGATCTCCAGAGGTCCCTTCCCACCTTGAACATTCTGTGGTTCTGCCCAGCGCCGTGCTGCTGTGGTTATGCTGCTTCCTTTCCAGAAGCAAGCTGACTGCAGTTGTTTTTTTAGAGTTTCCTCACTGCTATTTGAGAAACATTAATATACAGTATTGACAAGGCTTATATTGTTGTGGAGCATCTAATGGAATGATCTCTGCAATTTTGCTGAAGTTGCCAATAATAGCAGTGAAGATTCATCATGTTGCCTTCTTTACATCTATAGAAGAACTGAGAGACCTGATCCTTTGCTGAGGCTGGGGCTCTGTGCCTGGAAACTCACTGTGTCCAGAAATTCCAGAAATCTGGGTCAGCTGTGTGCTCGTCTGCTGCATGGTAGTGAGGAGCTGTGTGTGAAGAAATTGCAGGAAAAAATACCCTGTGCTCTGCAGAACTGTAATAGCAGAATGAAAATAGGTGAGAGGCCTCATTTCAGAGTATGTGTTCTGGTGCTCCACCTACTTTTTGGCCATCATTAAAAAACATTGCAAATTTTTCCAGTGAAATTGAATTATAAAATCTATTAACAAACACCTTCAATTGTCATTTTACATGTCTTTATTTATATTTTGCAAAGCACATCTTCTATCTGTTTAAGGTACCTCTCCTTTGAAATATTGGCTTATTTATTCAAACAGAAAGGTCAATTCATAAAAAGTTTAAATCATAATGCACAATGTTCCTAAATTGTCCACATATTTCAATTTTCCGAGTCCAAAACAATCCTCAATTTTTGACCTTACCATCAATTGACTTCATTGACTTTTGGGAACAGGAAACACTTTTCCTCGTCTCAGAAATGTGTTAGACAGGAAAACAGGTTCTCACGCAGCACTCCAGGAAGTCAAGGCTTCCATGCTTGAAGACATAATTACAAGCTGTAGGCAAAGCAATTCTTCAACTAAGTGATTTATGGCCATAATCTGTTGTTGTTGTGAGAGAAATACCACCCAAAATTGGCTGTTTTTAAGCTTTCTTTCTTGCTGTCATCAGACTGGAAGCACCCAGCCCTCCACCTCTTCCTTGGATGACCCCACGGACATCTGTTGGATGGGGGAACGTGGCTGAAGAGCCGCCTGTTCCTCCCCAGAGCTGCAGCTCCAGAGCCTTCTCTGGAGAAGGGAAGAAGGTCAGAGAGAGCCTCTGCTCCAGGCCTATGGACCACTAGCTCTCTTCTCCGGGACCAGGACTAGGACCAGGACTCACAGATTTTTATAAAAAATATATATTTTTTTCAGATAAACTTGGATTTTGTGCATGCATGCTTTTTTAAATGAAACATTGAGAATTTTGGTTTAACATCTGACTTGAGTTCTCTACTGGTACTCTGGGAAATCTTCAAATGAAACTTTTTTGTTTTTTCTTGCAAAACCAAGACTCCAGGACTCGATGCAAATCCTACCTGCCTGTGCCACATTTCAGTCTCATTTCATTATAATAGTCCTTCTTACTGAGATCTGGGTAGCAGTTTATTGTAACTGTTACATTGTACTGTATTTTCACTGTAACATATAGATTTGATATGGCTACAGTTAATATGTAATATACGCTATGTAGATATGCTTTACTGTATATCAGGAGAAGTATTAATGAATTTTAGCTTACAAGGAAATAAATAGATGCTAAAATTACATACATTATAGGGATATTTGGCACTGTAATTAAGTATTATCTCATTATAGTTTAAGGCTGTGCATGTAATAATAACATTATACTTCCCTGAAAGGAGTCATAATAATGCAGGAGTAGAGATCTAGCAGAGTTGCTTGTATTGAACTGCCTAGGTTAGAAATGAAAGAGTTTAATAAAGGAAAAATAAAATAAAATAAAATAAAATAAAATAAAATAAAATAAAATAAAATAAAATAAAATAAAATAAAATAAAATAAAATAAAATAAAATAAAATNAATAAAATAAAATAAAATAAAATAAAATAAAATAAAATAAAATAAAATAAAATAAAATAAAATAAAATAAAATAAAATAAAATAAAATAAAATAAGATAAAATAAAATAGTAATTTTACTTGCAAAATAGTAATTCTTATAGCAGAGGGGAGAACCATGGCCAAGGGCTTTGCAATATAAATGCAGCCTTCGCTCACTCAGGTAAGTCCAGGCCGTGGGCAGGCAAGTTCCTGATGGCCAGGGATGGCTCCCTGAGTGGATGCATTTACCAGCTGTGAGCAGAAAGTCCGCCCTTGAGAAGGAGGAGCAGTTATGTGGTTTGGATGGAAAGGCTCGTGAGCAGAGAAGGGTTTTTAAGGGTAAGATGGGCTGCTCTGGGCCTGTCCTTGGCACTGCTTAGTCTGTCTCCTCCATTCACAGGCAGATTGAGCTATGGTGTTTGGAACTGTGAGTCCTTAGGAACTGTGCTTAAAAGTAATCATCATCTAAATGAAAAGATGGTGCTTATTATATATATAAATATATATATATTTTAATGCAACTGACTTTTTTAATGTATCTTTTAGGCCTATTTTCTCTTTCGCCTTCCAGACCTGACCCCTTTAATGGATACTTTGGTCAACCTCAATTTGGCATTCAATAATTTATTCTTCTTTCCCGTTGAGGTGAGTACTTGCTGCTTATTTTTCATGACTGCACTAATAATGATGTGACACTGGTATTGTCCAGTTCAGGTACAAAGAGTAACATTCAAAGAGTCAGGATTTAATCAGAGATGCAAATGTCATAGCACAGATGTTTAAGAGAGAAGCAAAAAAAAAAAAAAAAAGGAAAAAATAGTATTTTCTGCTTTCTTCAAACTTCTTCACCCTTTTTTTGCTTGTTGTTTTTCTGGGATTTAGTAAGAATTATGGCGTCTTCTTTGCTGCTCTCCCATGTTCCTGTCCCTGAGCTTGGAGCTCCCAAGGGCATTCCCTTCTCCACCTCCTCCCCCCTTAAGGTGTTCAGAGCTGAAGATGACAAGATCAACAGGAGCTAACGACCTGCAGTTTCTGGGAAAATCCAAATTAGAGGACAGAATCACTAGGGATAAGCAGCTACCAACATCTAGAAAAGCTTTAATGACAGACTATCGTGTTTTCAAACACTTGCAGCTTGGGCAAGTGGAGGTTGTTTTTCCTGAGGATATTTTCCCAAGGATGCCAGCAGATGCATTGATCATAGTGGACCAAGGACTTTGCCTCAGTCCTTGTTTTAAGGAATATTCACGGAGAGGGAAACACACAAGCCCCCATGCCAGCTGATGCAGTGGTGGCTATGTGATTCACAGGGCTGGGTCTGTGTAGGCCAAGGCCTACTATGATTTATTTTCATACAATTAAACATTTCTGAAGCAGACATTTTAGGACCAGAGAATTACAACTCAAAAAGTTAGTTAGGACGCTACACTGGGAGGAAAACCAGGCTTGTAAAGGGAAATGCTGGATCATCTTTAACGCTCAGGAGCACTAGCAGCCCTGCTGGCAATTCTCACTCATAATACTGTAAGTGATACAAGTTACCGTTAACTATATCTCCTAAATAACTGCAGTAATCTTTACAATAATTAGCATTAATCTCCATACTCTGTATTTATTCTAGATAACCTTATATTTATTTTCCAGCTCTTTTAGCAGAGCTTATTAATGCTAAAAATGCAGAACCCTATGTGCTTTATGGTGAAAAGCTGTTGCTATTTCCATTACCTGTTCCCCTCTCTCCTCAGGTGCTTAACATCAAAACCTTGCAAGTCCTGGTGCTCCGAAACAATCCTATCAGAGAGATTCCTAATGACATTTCCAGACTGAAAACACTGAAGAAATTTATCATTTCCTTCAATTTGCTATCAGAGCTTCCAGATGGGTAAGATATGGTTTACTAATTGAGAGAACTGCAGCATACCTAAGCATCAACAAGGATTTTTATCCTGACCTACATCATAATCCGTCACCGTTTTCCATTCTGGCCATGCCATAAAACCAAATGAAATTATTTTCTAGTGGTAGTAGATGACAGGAGTACTGAAAAAGTTAATTTTAGTGCTTGCTAAAATACCACATCACATTGAATCTCCACTACTACCATTGAATCTTCACTACATATATATTGGTCAGCTGTAGCTCATTTGCAGGCATAAACAGACATTTTAGGTAAAAACATTTTGAGGAAAAAAATGGTTTGGCTCTACAGTCTGTTCCTGTCTTCAGCTGCCTCTGTATAGCAGTAAAAATGAGCAGCATTTTTAAAAATAGGTAGTATGTTAAAACATGAGCTTTCTGTTGAGGTGCTGGGGCACAGAAGTCCATTCCTAGAGTACTTTGGGATGCTGAGACCTAGCTTCACCCCCCGTGCTTTAGGTACTTAATTGAGGCAGCATGCTCAGCATCCACACTGAATGGGAAGAAATAGATAGTTCCAGAGGTCATTTCAGCGCATGCCAGAGCTGAATCACTCTTCTGGATGCTAAAAATACACGAAGGCATGATGCATTTTCCTATTAAAAAATAAAGGCCTATGCACTCTTGTGGTTAGTGCAGAATGGTTTGAGCTCTAGAGCTGGACTAGATGGCCTACAGAAGCCCTGTATAACCTAAGTTGTTCTATGATTCTCCATCATCTGTTTTTCTGACTCAGCATTCTGTTTTATTTTGCTGTAGGTTGTTCTTATTAGACCATCTCCAGCATCTGGACATCGCTTACAATGACATTACCTTTATCCACAATGACATCAAGAAGCTCAGGTACACAGGCAACATAAAATGAAAACAGATCTCTACATCATGATCCTCTGGGCCACATTTTGATGCTAATTTTATCAGTGAAGATTCACGACACCCTCTCCTTCCCCCTTCTTAATCCTGTCCTGTGTGGGGGGCTTGTGGAAACAGAAACAATAATGATGATTGCATGCCAGAAACAGCTGTGGATAGAGCCAGCCAATATCCATAGGCATCTTGAGGATAGCTTTTAGTCAAATCTTTCCATAAAAAATGTGATCATTCTCTCATTTGGACCGTCTGTTTGCACATACATTTGATTTGCATGATGAGCAAAGAGAAAATGTACCTCCAGTCATGGCTCTTTTCAAGAAGTGTGAAAAGTTGGTGAGGTAACAAATAAAACCTAGTTCTACAGGGAACATCCAATAGGAACTGCACAGAAGGAATTCTTTGTACATGGGGCTGTTACTCTTTTGCCCTTAATGCCCATGTTCTCCATCTACATATCTAAGACATTTTTAAATGTCTTAATGTCTCCATCTTTAAAGGTAACTCAAACATTTAAATAATAACTGAAAAACACTATGTGTACAGTTGCTTAAAATGCACTGTAAAAAACACGTGGCTCTTTATAAACAGGTGTAATCTTGGTGTAATTGTTCATTAAATGGGAATTAGGAAATTATATAGCCATAGTCAAGGTAGGATATTGTCTGGACAGTTTGTAAATGTCTAGTGGTCCTTAAAATTACAGACAGCTCAAAATCTTGAACATTGAAGGGAACCAGCTCTCTGCTTTGCCATCTGGGCTTTTGGATCTTCCACTAAAACGTCTCAGAATAGAAAATAACTTCATACATCCCTTGTTATGGAATGAACAGAATCAGAACCAGCCTCAGAAGCTCACTCATCTGGCTGCCCTCTGCTTCTCCAGAAATAATCTAAGGGAAAGATATGCTGACATCTCAGAAGATATTAAAAAATTACTGGATGAGTAAGTAGTGCAGTGTGCCTCGATCCCGTGCCTCACACAAGCATTGTGTGCAAGAATATGCACATTTTGCCCCTTGTTGTAATTCTACTAGTAGTGTTGTAGTTCCCACTTCACTGTTTCAGGTTAAATTAGTGTTCCTCAGTGATGTGCTGTTACGTGCTGTTCAGTGTACCCATGCAGGTACACTCCGTTCAGATTTTGAGTGTATGTCTCCAGGTAAATGTTAAAATCTACACTTAGGCAAGGTTTATCAGAGGCTATGTGCAAATGTTGGCTTCTGTTTAACGTTGTTGGAATTTTACACTGCCACCTGTGCTCCAGAGCTGGAGCTTCATGCTCTGCCAGGTGTCAAGCAAGTCTGTCCAGAAGTGAGACTGGCCAGAAGCTTATGGGTGAGCCAAAAAGGATGTCAGTTCCATTTCTGGAAATAGCAGAATTCCTCCCTTCTTTCCCTTCCCTTTACAGTTCAGCACATCTTCCTATTTCTGATGCATCCATGCCATGCAGACTGTGCAATCAGGCTAGAGTAATGATGCAAAATCATAATGCCATCCGGTGGAGATGGGTGCACGGTTGGACTCAGTGGTCTTGTAGGTCTTGATTCCAACCATAATGATTCTTTGGAATAGAGTTGCTGTGCTGAAGTGGAGGTGAGGAAGTCGAGGCTCCTTCTCCACTCTAGAGCCATAACCACTTTGAGGCCAGATAATCTTTTATTTTGCATTGTCATTGAGGAAGCTGAACTGCCAAGACTGGGTATATCGTCCTCAAAGCACGATGCAAAGTTTCTGACGTTATTTTTTATCCCCACTGTAGTTGTACTGCCTGTGACTGCTGCGGTGGACCTCGGTACGGCCAAGGACTTTGCCTCGTCCAGGTTTACAGCGATGTGTTCACATTTGGAAGGCTTCCCTTTTATTTCCTCGCCTGCTCATCATCCTGCCGCAGAGACTTCATGTACCAGTCTGAAGACTGACTCCAGTGCTTTGGAGAAAGGCACCTGGACTATAGCAGAGGGATGGGATAGCAATGGGCATGGGGAAAATAATAATAAATCTCTTAGGTTGTGTTGTTCTGTTGGACAGCTTGTGGCTCTGCTGGGGTACTGAGATCACTTTATCTTTCTTCAAGTGCTTTCTGCTTGGCCTGGTCTGGTTCATATCAATAAATAGATGGGGGGTTCAAAGTGAAGGGCAGAGTTGGCCCTAGGTAAAACTGGAAAAGCTACATGCTCACCCCGTGTTTCCTTCAGCAATAGATTAAAAGACCTTTATCACCTATTGCTACCACCACTAGCAATGGACCATTCTACATTGTACCTGAGCCTATTCCCAGGCAAGCTATTTTTATAATTTTATAGTTTTCCCATTTGCCAATCTTTGTAAGAGATTTTAGACCCCAATTTTCTGAAGTCAGTGACCAAGCCTTACTTCACTTTGGAGCACACACAGTGGACCAAATCTAGGAGACTGTTGCCTTGTCCACGGAATGGCCTCACTGAACTTGGCCAAAATCTAGTAGTTTCACAGCCTTCAGCTGGAAGTTCCTTGGATTTGTGGTGTGTCTCAGGAGCAGTTTGTTACTATGTGACAAGCTTGGAAAGGTTGGGAATGGCTCTTCATAAACACTGTGTAGGTAACCTAATAAAAGCAGTTCAGGCCCAGGGACTCTCCAGAGCGAAGAAAGGAAGGGTAATGGAGGGAAAAGTGAGAAGCTGATGCTTCTGGCCTGCTTTGAGCACAAGCAATCCCATGGGAAGATGAACACCTCTGTTCCAGGGATTAGGTTACCCAAAAAATGCATCAGGAACAAGGGCAGGCTCCGATACACTGGCCCATCTGCTGCTGTGAGAATGTCTTCCACATCAGGCCACAAGGACAGGCAGCTCTGCCAGTGCCTTTCCCTGGGCCCATGCACCTTGCAGTGCTCACGACAGCCATGCAGCATCAGCACCTGGGAAGAAAAGCGGGCCTTCTCCTTCCCCATCGCCCCTTCTGCCTTCCAGCACACATTTTTATTGACTTGCAGGTGCTGAGATACAGTTACAGCTGTACCATTCAAACAGTCTCTGGCCAAGAAGTGTCAGACAGAGTGGTGTCTCTGACACTTTCCATCTCCTGGTAGGTGTTCGGCCCCCACGCGGGTGTGAGACACGGTCTGGGGAGCCACACAAATGAGAAGGGGTCATTTATTTATTTCAACATTCAAAGTTCACCAAAGTCTTGAGAGTGGTTGAGAAGTTACACTGACTCGAAGACTCCGGTCTGTATTCGGGTTGCCCACAGGAGTTGCCTAATTACATATCTACCCAATATATTAGCTAGATTAATTAGCTATTGCAGCTAATTTCCATTGTCTGCATAGGAAGCCCATGTTTAGCACCCGTGGCTGGTGGGTGGCCTGGCTCCTACTGCAGCCTCAAATGTGGACAGCACAGGGCAGCAGCACCTACCACAAGGCAGGTGATCTGACCAACTCCAAGAAATTGGGAAGGCTGCAAGATAAAAGGCACATGGCAGGCAAGAAAAGGAGATTTTAACCTTTCTTCAAAGTTGTCTGGGAGTGATGTAGCCCAGGGGATTTGTGTGCACTGAAGCAGCAATGCCAGTAAGTTCAAAATAAATTCCAAGCATCACCAGATGCAGGAACTAGCAAGATCCTCAGTAAACTCTGCATCAGCCTTTGGTTTCTCTCACCTGTAGCAGTTTGATCACAGCCAAGCAGACGGTGAGGAACACCATGAGTGCTTGAAACTCATGCGAGTTTCTCGCTTGAATCCGTGTGAGAAACACGGATGCACACGAGCTCCTGGCTTTGGGGCTGCCTGGCTACGGCTGATGAAGAGGAAGGGACTCCGGCCTGTCGGGGTTCCTGGCCAGGCCTCTTTCTCCATGAGGTTCTGGATGGAGGCTGCGCTCCCTGCACTGCTGCCTTGGCATCCTGGTATGTCCTTCACCAGGGCGGATTGTAGAGGGAGCTCAAGACATTAGGCATTAGGAATGCAGCTTGGAGAGGGAAAGGCCTGGAGATGGGAGAGCGGCTGGGCAGAGCCAACAGACAGAGCGGCTGCCCCTTTGGAACTGGTGCTGCTCTTACACATGGGCCTTGCTTCCCTGGGATGAACATTTGCTATCTCTGCACTCGGGGTGACTCTACAGCCACGTCTTCGGAGTAGAGAGCAGCTCATCTTGACACCCCAGATCCAGCTTTGAGGGATGGTGGTCACAGCAGCGTAGAGGAGCCAAGGTCAGGGCCCTGGTGCCTCCCCGGGTTGCGGGCGGCCTGGGCAGCTGCAGCTGCGTCCACAGGGCCGCTGGTGACCACGGGGGCTGCCGGTGACCACGGGGGCTGCCGGTGACCACGGGGGCTGCCCTTGCCACACTCCAGCATGGACCGAGGCACCGGGAAAGGGACCCTCGCACTGCGGCCAACAGCGCAAACTAGGCCGAGCTACGTGCAAGCAGCCCCCTCTAGTGATGCCTTTTCCTCGAGTTTTAATTGCCTTGCGAGACAGGCGTATTAACGCTCCGTTTTGCCTAGTATGAATGGCTGTTCTGGCACAGCCAAGGTCTAAACTCTGTTATTTGATTAGAGGCACTTTCACCCTGTGGAGGAAGGCACATGCAGCAAGGAAGTATGCGAGGCTTTATCGACTGTGAGGAAAGAGAATGGGATCAAGCTGTGCAAACCTAAACAGAACTGCGGCTGGCAGCCGAGCCCCGGGGTTTTCAGCTTCTCATCTCCTCTGCAAAAACCTGCAGGCCTCACTCACCTTCCTGCTGCACCGGGGCACTCTGAACCCACCATTAAGTGTGTTAGGGGTGGCTGGTGTGTGGGGACGCTCACCTCCTAAAGCTGGGATTACTCAAGGCAGTGCAACTCCAAGCAGCTGAGCCACATGCTGAAAGAAAAGCACCATAATTGACATGTGAAGACTTAGTTTGTTCATATATAGCTCATAAACAGTTGCTCCGAGAAAGAACTGGCAAAGGTTAGAACTACAGCCTGCTCCTGCTCCATCTCCCCGCTAAAGTGAGATTTTGAAACTGCCATCTGTAGCCTGGGGGCAGAGGACAGAGCTCCTGTGGGGTCAGGAGAAAAATCATTAACTTGTTTTAGCTAAAGGTCATTAAAAATCTGATGCTGGCTTTTGTATCGTGTGTAGACAGCTCCGCAATAGCTCATGACTGACTGATCAATACACAGCATTACTGCCTCTCAGACCTGACTATTTTTTAGGTCACGAGTTTTAATTAAAACAAAACAAACATTGCATTTGGCCTTTCACCATGTTTCTACATTTGGCCCTGCTCCATTAAACTCGCGCGTGCACGCCCATGTTTTCCCCAATAGGTGCATGTGGTGAATGTGCAGGAATGTTAGAGGGAAGGGAAAGCTGCTTACTGCAATTCCAGTCTGATGGAGGGAGGCCTAAGAGTAACAGGGTGGTGTAGTGAGTGACTGCAAGAGCTCTTCCCTCTCCACACAGTCAGAGAGTGATGTTCCTCATCGTGTTCTCATCCGCTCCTTGTTTTGGCCTCTCCCACTGGCTCCCGCACACTTGGACGCCTTCTCCGCTATTCCTGTCGCTTGCAACGGCCTAAATCCCCCACGTGGAGCCATCCCCAGATGCCACATCACAGCTTCAGTGGTGCTGGGTGCTGACTAGGGCAGCTGCAAATCGCTCCTGTCCTCGTCACACCCCTTCCTGCCCAAAACAATGCCCAGCCCCTTGGACGTGAGGGTAGATGTTTCTGATCAAGATGTGAGAAAAACACCCCTCCATTTCCTCCTGCCCCCTCACCTGGGCTTAAGCCCAAGCCCTGGGGCAGCGCGCATGGCGAAACACAAGTGCTGTTTTGCAGCTGGGACGCCCCGGGCTGTGTAACAAGGCACTCGCCTGCAGGTCCCAGGGCCGCCGGGCTCGCTGCTCCTGTGACGTGGGGTGCAACTTGGAAGAGACCCTGCAGCGTTGTGGTGCAACGCAGCACATGAGCCCTTCCACAGACACACACACACGTGTGCACACTGACGCCTGCTGACAGGGCAGCAGGAGGGGATGGGGCACTCCACTTTTGCAAAAAGCAGGAAATCCCTCAAGCACCATTTACTTCACTTGGGTAAACCAGAATGGTCTCTGTGTTTCCTTCTGTTCTGCCTTGTCCTGACTCGAGCAGAGCCCGCAGGAGAAGTCCTGCGTAGCCACAGGTCACATGCCTGTTAGACTGCGCCTTGTACCAGGTCCTTGCTCTCTCGGGAGCAGTTAGTGGTGAGCTGTAAATAGCAGCTGCCCTTCCTTGCCCTGCGGGCGGCACTTGAAACTGCCCCCAGGGAGGCAGCAGTGCCATCGCTGTCAAACCTGCACCATGACGTGGCTGGTTGAGGAAACCCTCCAGAGAAACCACCCTCATGGTTAAGTCCCAGAGCCTGTAAGAGGCTAGAAGCCCCTTTGCTCTTGCTGAGCTGGCTCTGAAGGACAGCCAGGCACTACAGCACATGGGGGCACAGCCCTCCTTTATACGCAAAGATCAGTTTCCTGACCTCAGGCCAACGGTGTTTCTAAACGTAGATCGGGGGGGGGCCCAGTCTAAAGTTTTCCCCTCAGAAAGGAGATGTGAGAAGGCAAAAACATGAGGGAAGAAGTGAGGGTCAGGGCTCCATGCTCCTTCGGTGAACACTCAGCACAAAGCCAGGACAAGAGCTTCAGGGAGATGAGCCCCCAAATGCAGCAATGGGGGCTCAGAGATTAGATCTGAAGCCACCAGCTGGGCTGAAGGAGGCTCTGGCTCCTGGGATGAGGCTTGGAGCTGCATGGCAGTGTTGCAGTCATCTTCACCCAGGACCTACTGAAACAGCAGTTGAGTGCCGAAGAGGAAACACCAGGCACAGTTCACCAGCCACAAAAAGGTTTTGAAATAGGAAGTGGGGTCAGGATGTGTTGGTAGCTATTTCTCCTTTACCTTCACCCTGACACGTACAGAAAGGCTGGGGGGAGGGCTGTCTAACCCAGGCAGAGCC